CCAGTTTTTGCATCTTTATTCTGCAGATGTCCTCCGGTTTGATTTATGACCACTATTCCAAGTGCAGAGTGGTAGCAATGCGCGTTGACGTCCATTAGCATGTGGCCGATCGTCGGCCCATTTAGTATGGGCTCTGAGCAAGATTCGTCATGCTCTGTAACTCCATAGCATTACAATTACAACACTTTCCACAACACCATTCGGAAAATTGCTTGGGTGGGTTGTTCTCCGGAGTACTACGAGCTGTTTGTGCTGGGAGCATGAAGAGCTCTTGGCAGGTTGCCGGGCATGCCAAGGGTCTTCGGTCAACTCTGCAGTGTATTCTCGGAGTTCTATGCGCTGCACAAATCCGGGCCTATCACGTGCCGAAGTCCGAGGGACTCACCACTCAAGGGCTGTGCCGATGACGGGGGTTGGAATGGGATCCACGTGTGTTTGTCTGCAGCAGAAGTGAAAGATGGCTGAACCTAGATTCAGCTAGATGCGTGTCTGGGGGTACATGAGGAAACAGTATTTGAACAACTAAGTGGAGTCGGCAGATTATACTCTATCGCCTTCCCAGGCTGAACTGCTTAATGTAGGAATCAAAGACGTCTGAAATGTATGTACAATCAAAGCCTTCGAAAAAGACGCTCGGTGAACAAAGGCTTCCCATGTCGGCGACAACCCTGGCATTTCAAGACCCTTTGCATTTCCTTGAAGGGCCTTGCCGGCAGAAGCCGCGGGAAGTGTGATGGTCAGGGCTTTAGCCAGCACGTACGGCGTACGGGTGCTGCAGCATGCTCTCAAATCTGTCGGAGTTAGGTCTCAGCGCGCAGCATGCTAGAACCACATCGCTTCAATCTCCGAACCGGAGGGCGAACCGATTGCTGACACAGACAGATCTATGCGCGGCTAATAGGTGAGGTTCTGGACATCTAGCTCGATGAATCAGAAGCGTCTAGAGCCCACAGCAAGGGCTGGCAGGCTGGCACCTGTGGCGTGCGACGTGCGAACTTCTGTCAGCAACCTGTTTGAGGAATTGCGACGGTCTCATACCCGGTGCTGGAGACAGATGCCGGCTAAAAGTGCGATGGGGATCTAGGGCTCGTGGTCCCATCCACGACCCTGTGCTGGACAACCCTAAACTGCTGAAACTCATCCAGCTCAGCAGATGTGCAAGGGAGAATCAATCGCATGTTGCCCGCTCAGTCCTAGATTGGATTGCAGGTGATTTTGGCCACAGGTCATTTCTACTTCCTTCGATATGCATAACCCTGGCATTGCTTCTCACTGGCATTTTTTATGTGGCACATGCGTCGTCCGTACTGAGGATGGACATCCACGAACTCGCCGAGTTTCTGAGGTGAATTGGCACGGAGCCCATGTGACTTGTCGTTGGCAGTATTTGCCTGTGCAGAATCCTAACGCACAGCCTTACTCTATGCTCGAGTCATGCTTGATACAAGGGGTAACCCGCCAACAATGACCTTTGCCTCAATCGGTTCTTCTCAGCCCAGGCACCAGAGGTGGGTCCCGTTTTGTCATCGTCGGCGCCACTTGGATGCTTCTGAACCTTAAGATGCACCCGTTGGTTTCATTCGGTTACATCACGAATGTATACAGTTCCAGCCGATGTGAATCAATATCGTCGATCTCCTCTTTGGCATAATCGGAGCCTCTGTTTATCCTGCATGAGTTTGCTAAGATCCGTTGGGCTTCAATTTTATCCAGGAGCACACTCACATGTTTATCGTCAGAGAAACCGTTTGCCCAAACCCCAGGTCCTGGGGGCAGCTTTTGGTAAGATTGTGTTGTAATATATTGTAATTGTCGTCGCCAAGCCCTGCAGAAACGAGAGAAGCATGTGTTTAATTGTTCACGTGATCTGAATGCCTTGCCCTTCAGCTGCGAACCATTCAGTTTCCTTATGTTCCCTTCATGAAGTGTCGTCCGCAGAAAATCAGTGTTGTTGCCTACTTCTCTCGCCGGATGGGATTCCGGATTTGGAAATCCAGTGAACGAAGCTCTCATGCGTTTGTCCGCGCTCACAAGCACCAGACTATTCGCCAACAAGATACTCAGCTCTCAAAGATTAATGAAGCTTTATGCTCTATGTTTGGCGAAGCTTTTGCAGCTGCAAACACTTAGGATTTGCACAGTCACTTCGGCGACTTCACTTGCTCGAGGACCGGAGCAGTCCACAAACTGCAAGGGTTGTAAGACCCAGTGGACCTATAATGATGAGCAATTGATGGCCGCTCACAATTCTGCGGCCTTCCCCCTGCGGGGTGAGGGTGCCTGGTGCCGGATCACGGCCAGCCGTCACTAGCACCGAAGGCAGCCGCCGCCCGCCTGTTTTGTCGGTTGAAAGCACGGGCAACAAAGTTGCGGCATCAGCTAGCGATGGTAGAGGCTGTGTGGCGAAGAAACCTTCACAGGGTTCATCTCTTGCCGGGGTCCGCTTCCTCTTCAACGGAGACTTCGTCGATCGTGGCACATGGGGACCGGAGGCGAAAAGTGAGGCCATTAGCTGGTACTGTATATGCTAGTTGGTGTTCATATGGTGTGTTCCACTGTAGAGGTTGAAGACTGATGCTATGCGTGTCGATTTCCCTTGGGCGGCTAGCAGAACACTCGCATGCTTGTTCACGTCCATGATTGGGTTTCGATTCTGACTATCGGTTTACCGGGACAGCATTGATTGGACCAGCGCTACTGGAATCTGGCCTGCGTAGTCATGCGACACCCATGTTGGTCAGGTTTTGCTGCTGCTGTATGCACTGAAGCGCAACATCCCGACGGCAGCCCCGTGACAGTGACAGGAGCATGACAGGCGATCTTCCGCTTTCACGATCAAGCTCTCCCATCAACCATACAGTCCATGGGCCGCACGGATCATGAACTCAGCCTTCTGCAAATCCGGCGCCCCATTGTGCAGTGGCCCGAAAACGTCAGAGCCCCCGCTGTGGTTGTGCTGGGCAGAGAACGTGCTTCCTCTCTTCAGTGAGACCTTGTCTTTAACGCAGCCCAGGTTTTCCTCAACCACTCTAAGATCAACTGCATCCCGGTGTGCACTTCGGGTTGGGCCGTGATAGTGTAGTAGCTGCTAGCATAGCAGGCGGTCCTAGTTCTCAACGTGCAAGCACTGCCTAGGGCGCTCCGTACGGTCTATGGGCCCGAGAGGTGCCATTCAGAGTGGTGTGCCCCCAACAGGGATCGAGCACCCGTGCCTGGGTGTCCAACTTTTTGTCCTGAGGCCAGACAATGGTTTTGCCCGTTCTCGCTGCATCCGTCCTTTTGCGGGTGAGGCAGTGCCAATGCTCCTTGGCAACCGCCCATGGGGAGTGTCACTTGCGCGATGCAGTCCGAGTAGAAATGCTTTGAGGATGGAAGCTTGGTTTTGGATTAACTAGGGTCCCGGTAGGATGTAGGGTTGGGACGCAAAAGACCATGTATCAAAATCCGGCCAGCACCTTCAATCCTCGCCTGAGTCCAGAGTAGTGGCAAGACATGGCAGGACGCCGCATCAGTCCAAGGCCTCGTCCACAAAGATTTCAAGGTTTATAGGATATCTGATTTTCCAAATTCAGGGGCACCCCATCAGTCCAAGGCTCCATTTGCGGAGTCTTCAGTTTTTTGAGAAGAGTTCTGAGTTGCAATCAGGGGCGCCCCATCAGTCCAACTCTCCATCGTCGTGGTTCAAGTTTTGTGTGAATTCTGATTTTGACACCCGATGCACTCGGTGAGCCCAAAGCTCCACCCTCGGAGATAGGGTGTTGTGAAAGATGTCTCGGAGTTCAAAGTTGCAAAATCAGGGGCGCGCCATCAGTCCAAGGCTCCATCCTCGAAGTTCAAAGTTTATAGTTTATAGGAGTTCTGATTTCACAAACGCGGGGCGTCCGATCCGTCCAAAGTTAACTCCTCGGAGTTCCCGATTTATGTGAGTTTTGATTCCAACATCCCAAGGGCTATCAAAGGATGCTTGTGCTAGTCGTGGCCGCAAGACACTTGGTTAGGCAAACTGCAGCACAGTTGGTCTGTCAGGGATGGGATTCTGGGGTCGGTTAACAAAGGGTTGAGGGATGGGATAGGTACCCAATCGACATCAAAAAGTCTCTCTTCTTCTCAAAGTTTAAGGATTGTCAAAGGCTTGCAGGAACGGCCGGCAGGGGCCACGCGAAGCTGGATGATTGTCTTATAAGACGCACATGTGAATCTTGAAAGTTGAAAGGGTTCTGGGGAAGCTCGGACAATTCCTTTGCAGTGCCTACTCTACTAGTTGGTCTCAGCTAAGGTACCCAAACGGCCAAAAAGTCATCGCGAAGGATGACCTCAATCCAAGGACTTCTGGCAGGGTTTCGGTCCGTGAAGCTTGAACGAGCGAACCATTGTTTATTGTTATTTGAGTATGCCGGGGGACCATCGGCGTGACCCGACGCCGATCCTGAGCATTCCAGGGGCATCTGCAGGACCTCAATGGCAAAGACGGTGGCAAGATCTTTGAGAGAAGCAAAGGCAAGGCCGCTTCTGACCAACAGGGGGTTCGGTTGCTGTTGGTAATGTTTGAGGAAGCAATGAGGACATTCGTGTTCGCAGCCCTCAAGCCTGCTTGGTAATTTGCGCTGTAAACGTGAACAAGGTAGATTGGTGATGTTGAGTCTTCGAGACTTTCAGTATGTGTACGGGAGATTTGGAAGCTGAAGAGATGGAGCATCAACTTCACCGAATGGTTGCGCCTTCGGTTTAGCTCTGACATTTGTTGAACGAATGCAGCTGAACCGTATTTTGAGAGCAGTGAGAAGCTGATGTTGTATCGAAACTGAGGTGTCTCAACTGTTATGACATAGACGGTTGGGATCCCCCCTCAGATGCTTAATTATTCGGCTAAATAAGCATTTTGTGGCATGGCGAGGCACTCACAGCATCTGCCAACCTGTCAGTGGCAGGCAAACACTCCCGGAATCCTAACTTCTCGCGGGGTCTGCACGGTGTCACAGTGCAGCCAGAAAGCTTGTGCCATGGCAGCTGCGATCGGCTTTCCTGGATCTTGCATGCGGCTGCATGGGGTTTTATTACTGCTTGTTTTGCTCGTGGCACATGCATCAAATTGCTCTTACGACATACTTATGGTCGACGACCGTCCATTTAAGAGGCTGAGCCCTTTCACGGCACCCTATTGGGTGATGAGTGCTGCGCTCAATGTGGCGTTCGCCAGGGAGCACGAACATGGATTTCACCATGTTCGCCCTTCTAACTCCAAGGTTCCAGAGCGCATGAAAAATTCCTTTAAGGGGTGGAACAAGGTGCTGTACATCAACCAGCTTCTCAACTTACAAGACAGGTCGCAGTGCAAGTGGATCCTGTATGTTGACAGTGATGCTTTTGTCCGCAGTAGCTTTTCCCTTGAACGGATTGTGGACAGGCTCCTCAGGAAGTATCAGCGCCCACACGACTGTCGATCGTCGGCGATTTTTGCTGCAGAATATCCCATAGACTATGCCATCAAGCTTGAGAACATCACTGGGCCGGGAGGCTCGCTGATTTCTGATGACTTGCAGCCGACCTGGATAAACACCGGGGTTTTCTTCGTTCGAGCTGACTGCCCAGCTTCCATGAAACTGTTTCGGCGCTGGCTGGCATGGGCAGCTCTCCTGAACGACGACCGCTTATGGTTTGAGTGGCCAGGGGAGCAGGGCATCATGACTGAGCTATTGCAGCCAAACAGCTATCCGCCCGCGGTGCCGGAAGGCTCCTTAGAAGCCCTCGGGAACCTACAGGACATCCGAGACTCCGTGGTAGTTGTGCACATGAAAGAGTTCAACAGTCCCTTTGGCCGTGACATTCAACATGCTTGGGGTTCTTCAGAAGAAGATGCACGGCCGCTTGGAAGGAGACAGCTATGCCCAAGCCAAAGATGGCTTCAGTATCTGTATTATATAAGCCCACAGTTCCCCAAATCCGTACAACCTAGGCCCAGAATCCTTAAAGCCTCCAAACCAAAGAGGGTCCATCGAAAGTGTGATTGAACTGCATGTCGCTTTGTGCTGAGAAGGGCTTTCGCTTGTTACCTTTGTCACTTCAACTGCTGATGTGAACCACCAGCAGGCTCTGCAGAAACAAGCGGAATTGCGAACTCCCCTGTCTCAAACAACAATGCCGTGGCTCACACAATGGGTGGAGATTTATGTGCAAGCGAACAAGAAGTCTTGCTGTTTGGGTTTGACACCTGGAACTATGGTACATGTGTGAAGATTCAAAAGCATGCTCAAAGCTCCAACTGTGCAAGGCCTGAAGAGCAACGGAGAGAAAACATGTACACCTAGCATGCGTTGCAAAGGTGGGATGCACTTCAGCACTCCTCCTTCGCGGCCCCGCTAGGGAGCTGCGACCTACTTGCTATTGCATGTCCAACCTGTCAGGGTGACGACACACAGGAGTTCTGCAGGTCTTGCTGCGCCAAGGTTCCCCCGCAGTTCAAGCTTCACCGCAGGTTTCGGCTTCCGCCGGCCGAGTTGTGCCATGCTCAAGCAAACCCAGCTCCCCGCAGATGGGAGGCAGTGCTTTAGTAAGAAGGTCTGTGGCCTGCTCAGCGCCTGGACAATCCACGAAAATGATCTCACCGGTTTCGTACTGCTCTCGCAAGGTTCGCCAAGACCCCTTGCCAATGGCGATGGACAGACAGTGCAGACTCGCAGCTGTCACGGTCTTGTCGAAGCTGTCCCATAATACCCAACACCCGAGGGCTTGAGCTGTAGGCTACCCCTAGTGGCCCTAGTGTGTTTGCACTTGTACAGTTTACCACTGCGCACCGCAGCCCTTGTGTGGCTTCAAGAAAAGGAGCGCCTGCTTTGAGCCCGGTAGGTGCCCCGTAGGAGAAGCCGCGTTTTTACGCTTTGCATGGTAGCGGAGCTCTGCTGAGCGCAGGGGCCAGCAACTCCGAGCTTGCAGCCCCGCAGTGGGTTTGTGGTTGTCTGCGGGTTGCCCCGCCCAGGAAAGGGGGAGATCAAGAGGTCACCGAAAACCTTCAAACCCGGGATCCCTAGCGGCCCTAGCGTTAGGCTGGAGGCTTAGCGCGGGAAGACCCGCCAAAGGGCAGAGGTCTTTTGTTCCGGACCCGGGCCGAGAAACCCGGCATCAGGGATCGCACCCGTTTGGTGTGTGGTTCCTTCCTGTTAGGTTTTACTCGCTAAGCGCGGGTAGAACCGCCCTCCTCGAGAGCCACGTCGGGCAAAGACTGGCAGGAAGGAGGTTGGAATCGAGACCATTGGTCTCGTGGGTCTTGGTGGGACAGCCGAGACGCGGAAGAAGAAGCTGGCAAAGAGAGGCTGGGAAGACGCCCAAGCCAAGGAAAACTCCGACAATTGGCAGGCGGAGGATATAGAGGGGCCCAAGAGGAGAACTGGGTATACGTGAGACTACCCTCGGAGTGGAGGCCAATCTTCGAGGAATGGGTGCGGGAACAACCGCCTGCCGAACAAAGCCACTGGTGGGGAGAGTTTGACAACACATGCTGCTCCGCCTCGACAGCAACCTTTACGGCAGGAGGACCGCAGGGTCGGTGTATCGAGACGAGCTCAAGGAGACCGGGCGGTGCGACTTCAGACGCGGGGTCAAGGACCCGTGCATGCACCCAAGCCTCAAGACAGGGATAGTGGTGGTGCACCATACCGACTAGGGGAGGTCCGACGCGCTGTGACGTGAGCCAAGCCATGATGCTGGGGCGGTGCCTGCAGCAGCAACCGTCCTTGGTGAGGGTCACGACGCTGGACCCAGAGGCGCACGATGCCACCCTTCAGCTGGACGTCTTTTGCGACAGCCACTGCTGGGGAGGATGCATTGGTGATCACCTCGACGGAGGCCCAGCCAGGCCTTCCGGCCACGAGCAGCCCTGACACAGAGCTAAGAGGAATCAGCAGACCGGGAAGCCATTTTCGTGCACGACCTGGCCACATTGGACATTGGCATACTTTGGCCTCGAAATGAACAGACAGCTCGACCGGCATAACAGCCGCATCAGCCGCATCAGCCGCAAGGCGCATAGGAACGGGAAGCAAGCTGAGACATCTTGACGTATCAGAATTTTACGTCCAAGGTGCTGTGCAAGCTGGCAAGGCTATGTTGAGAAAGGTAAAAGGCACGGAAAACGTTGCAAATTACCTGACAAAGCACCCGAAGACTGGCAACGAGGTTACTTACGCAAGCTTTACCGTCCCTTACCGTCCCTAGCCATGGTGGATGTCAACATGGTTGCGGGAGGCGAAGGCACAGTGAAGCTTGTGCGGGAGAACCCGCCCAGTCAGTGGAAGCCAGTCCTTCCTTTTAAGCCCTCGCTGGCAATCGCCCGCCAAGGGAAGAGGAGATCATCCAGTGGAATGTTCAGGCCACCACGCTGTTGGGTATGCTAACCTGGTTGGTCGTTCTCTGGTTTGTGTGCAGCCGGGCGGTTGGTTGGTGCAGCAGACTGCTGTGTGAGGAAGGAGGGGACTGCCGAGCCGGCAGCCGGAAGAGAAACTCGGAGCACGAGCCCAAGCGGAGGTGGCCACGCCACCGGGCACTGTAGAGGAGCTCTCGGCGCGGGCGGCCCGACCACCAGCTCCGAGGGATGCGGGCGTGGCCGCTGCAGCGCCAGCTGCACAGAAAGCGGCAGCACCGCCGCCAGCGGCATTGGCCAGGTCAAGGAGGTAGTATAATCAGTTCGCGAATGTTCGCTAAAGAGGACGGCCTGTATAGGTGTAGCACCACGCCCTCCTGCAAAGCATCCGAACAAGGGCCGCAGACCGAAACCTCGCCGCGATAAGCAGAGAGATTGCGGGGATCCCTCGCGCTGCGCCAGGCGTCGCACGCTCCAGGCACCAGGCCTACCAACGGTGCCGCAGCACAACTTCGGAAAGATGTACTATCCCCGACACCGCGCACAGTCCACCTCTACAGGAACTGTGTGAGGCCAAGGGACGTCATCACGTGGGCGGCCTCATCATAGGGACGAGGCACGAGGATCGCACTCACTTCCTTGTGGTGGGGTGACGACCACACGTATTCCCGACCTGTGTGGAGATCCGCGGGTGGGCCAAGCAGCTTCCTGCTGGGAACTCCGCCACAATCCCTCAACGTTGGAGCGGGGTGCGAGTAATCCCGTAGGATTCCCACAATACCCAACACCCGAAACCTTGAGCTGTGGGCTACGGCAGCCCTTGCGTGGCTTCAAGAAGGGGGCGCCTGCTTTGAGCTCGGTAGGTGCCCCGTATAGGCTTAGGAGAAGCCGCGTTTTGGCGCTTCGCACGAACTCACTCAGCATGGCCTCTGCTGACTGCAACGCAACTACAGCATCAAGTCGCATTCTTGTTTTCGTTTTGGCAACCGCTGCGATGGTGAGGGAGCGGGAGAAGAACAGTCCAGCAACAAGCTCTGCTTCTGCTGTGCTGAGGGTGACGAGAGCTTGTCGTGCTGCATGCCAGCACACCGGCGACCCATGAAGGAAAACCACTCACCCCGTGTGCGAGCGATTCCCTTCTGGTGCGTAGCAGGCATCACTGTGCTCGATCAAGTGTCATCCACGTCAGCCGTGAGAGGTGACCACCAAAGCTGCGGGGAATCCCAAAAGTCACTCATCAAGCCCGCAATGAGCTGCAACCAATCCTGGAATTCCAGAATTCCAAAGAGCCTCCAGCTGGATCTGGTGGGGCTACGTAATTCGACAAAGGCGAGAGCCCCGGTTTTGAGTTTCAGGTACATCCTCCTTCTTCGTGCTGGTGAAGTGCGGCGCTTGCAAAGTTTGCAACTGTTGTACTCCCAGCAAGACGGCATCCAGCACGGCAGTACCTGATGTGGGAGGGGCTTGGGTTCCCCCCGGCGACACGAGGCGGAGCCGTGCTGACCTGAGCAGCTGATGCTTGTGAAGTGTAGCGCAGCTGAGCCCGAAGCCCTGCCCAGACCCCGGTTTTCGGCTCCAGAATTGGGTTTGCGCCCCCTTGCACTATTTGCACTGCAACCCTTCGGGCAGCGCGCGGCACTGGGGAGTGCGCACCTGTGCATCATGAAAGGGTGGCCTGAGAACCACATCATTGATCAAACCCCGCTAACTGCCTCGCAACCTCAGCTTGAATCGCTTCTTGGCAAGGACGATGAATCCGTTCTTGATTGGGGCCTTCCTCCGGGCATACTAGCGGTTGCTAGCGCACAGTAGAAGGGCCCCGCTTGCATGCGTTGCAACTTGTCCACGGGCCATCCCTTCCTGCCGGCGGTGCAGATGAAGTGGGTGCACCATGCCCACCTGTGGCGGTGAGCTAACTAACCTCCCATCTCCCGAGGCCATGGGCCGTCAAGCACCGCTCGGACGATCACACGTTTGTGATGTTAGTTGTTCGCGGTGGTGTGGTGTGTGCGCCGTTCAACACTGCAAGGACCTGCATCACTTCAGTGCACACAGTGCGCGCAACAAGGCTAAAGTCCCCAACGCACGTCATGAGCCGGAGCCCTGAAGTAGGAAATCCCTCAATCCCTCAACCATCCGTATTTCCGGGCCCTGCGTCACCACTCGCCGTACCTAGCATGCCGGTGCTGGTCCAGAGCTCCCTCCCGCCGCCAACTGTACCCCACCACCGCCTTCATTGGCGGTCGACACCTGTGGCATTCCCCCTCAGTCTGCGCAAACCAGTCCAGTCCACGCCTCCAAGCCATAGGCTCTTAAGCCCGTTCCACCTGGCGTTGAACCTGGTGCATTTTACAAACCATCCCTTCCGGGAGGTAGGGATGGCTGCTGTGCTGTGGTGCCATAGCCCTGCCCACGACGACACACTGCGTTCATAACCTGTTGATGTGAACCACGAGCAAGCTGTGCAGAAACAAGTGGAATTGCAAGCTCCCCCGTCTCAAACAATCCTGCCATGGCTCACACCTATTATGTGCAAGCGAACAAGACAAGTCTGTGCTGTTTGGGCTTCACACTTACAACAATGGCACATGTGTGAGGTCTACAAGTTTGAGCATGCTCAAGGCTCAAACTGTGATTAGCCTATAGAGCAACGCAGAAGCAACCATGCACACACTGCATGAGCTGCAAAGGTGGGATGCACTTCAGCATCAACTGTTAACTGACTATGTTTTTTCGTAGTATGCTGGGGGGTTTGTGTTAGCCACAAACTACGTAAGGTTGCGAGACTGGGCCATGGCTGATGCCTTGTTGCGCATTGGAAAAGCCGATCCTCGAAGTTTTTTGGAGCTTTGTCGCGAGGTCCTCCACCGTTCTTTCCTGTGGACAAGACCTGCGCTGGTCAGTGAGGAATAAAAACACGGGATGGGGCAGAGACACATACAGATGTACTCCGCTTATTTCGATCTAAACAAATAATCAATACTCAAACAGGTACATGCATAAGTCTGACTCTTCTTTGCTGCCCGTGTCTTTTATATGCTGCAAACGAAGCTGGCGACAGAGTGCGGCCCGTGTGAGAGAGAGAGAGAGTGCGGCAAGGTGCTGTCACAGATTTGCATTGTGGGACTTTGAGCATGACCGCCTGAAGTGTTAAGATACGTATCGTGACATAATTTGCAAATATTTGCAACATGTACACCATCACCAGCGCTTGTTACTTCCTGGATCCATGGTTGTGCAGACAAACGAGTTGTGTGATACCAAGTACTCGTAGCAAGCATCGTGCCATAGTACTTGTCCTTAACCGGTATACGACTCGCATCTGGGTATTACAGTTCGCAGCAGCACCACTGCCGACGCAAACACCAGAATGATAGTTGCATTCACATGTCAAGCTGATATCACAGCTGTGCTCCATTGTGATCTCCGCTTGGGAGTGGTGGTATGATCTCAAAGCATCGGTTCGGTGTTTGCCTCATGGGTTCTCCGTCCGCCGGGGATCCGAGGAGGACTACAACCCCCATGGTGACATGCATTGAAACTGTTGTCCCTTCTTCGCATGTGTTGTTTTACCCGTGTGGTCTGTGGTTTACTGTGGCTCCCGGTGCTGTCACCGCAACTGATACTTTCTTTCCAAGTACATTCAGTACTGCTAACCACTTATGCTTGGACACCCGCTAGAAAGGTCCAAGTGAGGTCCTCGACTTAGCCACTTTGCCCCTCAGTTTTCAGGTATTGGAGCCGGCCGATAGTGGAAAATAACAACATGTCGCGGCTCTTTCAGCCTTCCTTAGCCTGTCCACAACCAGCGGGACCTGCAGCGTATCCATCCCCGCCGCCCCCATGCACTGCACCAGGGAACACTTCGGGGTGCAGTGGCACAGCACCTTCTTGCCGGTAGTCCGGGTAGCACGTTGCTTTGATGCATCAACAGACTCATTTGGCAAGGCGAAGATGTGGAGACCTTTGAGGCTTTGTCATCGCCAGGCCCACACCTCGACGCCCAAAGCCATGATGTCGGGACTCTCTAAGTAGATGCGACGCCACAGACGCAATTTTGTATTGTGGAATGTGCCGCCAGACATCCAGGTGCACAGATGTTGGGGCTTGTGCAACGTCTATTCCAAGTTCAGTCAGGCTGGGATGCGCGAACCTCGATCTCGTCGAGTCTCAGGTTCATGTCATCTGTAACGTTTAGTCTCAGGATATATGAGGCCAGCATCTTCTAGCAGAAACGGAAGAGGGTTCCGGGTTCGCGGCAGGGTCTTGGTGATATTTGTGGTGCGGAGGGAAGCTGTGTTGGCAACGGGCGATAATGTTTGTCACTGCTGACCGAAGATGTACCAGCAGGTATGGGGTCTGCCGGCCCGGTTCGGTGGTTTGTGTGGTTTGTCTCGTTCCCGGCTGATTCCTGTCGATGCGTGCGAAAATTAACTTATCAGTGGTCAATGATATTTGGTTACACTGCTTCGGGCCAAGTTTCATTCTGATGACATCCCTCATGCCAGATTGCGCATGGCTGATCTGATGGACCAAGTCATTACCAAGTCTCAGGGAGGCTGAAACAACTTCCTGGATTATGGCAGAAGTACGCAAGCTAGGCTGGTCATGCTAGGGAGAATCAGATCTGTCAGAGAGGTCCGCCAGGCGTTCCGCCAGTGAAATGCTGCTGCTGCTGCTGCTGCTGCTGCTGCTCCAACTACTACTACTACTACTACTACTACTACTACTACTACTACTACTACTACTACTACTACTACTACTACTACTACTACTACTACTAGTACTGCTACTAGTACTAGTACTAGTACTAGTAGTAGTAGTAGTAGTAGTAGTAGTACTACTACTACTACCACGACGACTACTACTACTACCACCACCACCACTACGACGACTACTACTACTACTATTACTACTACTACTACTACTACTACTACTACTACTACTACTACTACTACTACTACTACTACTACTACTACTACTACTACTACTACTACTGCCATGTTTTGGGTGATGGTCATTGTCTGCATGCGTTGCATAGTTTTCAATTGAACTTTCCCGGCACCGATAAGAATATATTTCAGTAGTCATAGCACCAGACGTTTGCACAGAGCTATGCATGCAGCTGCCCTGGTGCTCGCGCTTCAGAGATAGTGCAAATGGGGAAGCTCGGCTCCAGGTCGTTTGTGGCCGTGGTGCAAGGGAACCTTTCAGCAGTGGCTTCGACTGCCTTTGACCTTAAACGGGACGCGACGGCCGCGACAGGTACGAACGTGAAGCGATTGGACGTTAGTCTCAGGGCGGCACAGGGTCTCATCGACAACATGGACTACATCCTCCCAGTGCATGATAGTGACCAGCTGGACGTGAACCAGGCCGTCTTTGCTTAGCCATGTTCTTGCCTGTATCCTACTAGGCTGGTCATTCCCAAGATAGAATATCTTCCAGTAGCGACTGCTGAAAGTCCTTACTCTCCGACAGATTACAACCCGTTCTGTGTCGTTCTGTGCTGCTTTCCTGCCCGAGGCCATTTTCTTCAGATGGAACATGTTGGAGCTGCTTTTGCACTGGGTGCAGTTTCAGGGCGAGTGGCTCGACCACATGCCCTCGTTTACTTCGCGCTTGCTTTGGCAGATCCTTACCTCCATCTTATGGGACTTGGGTCTTGTTTCGGCCAAATTTCAAACTCGAATGTCGACTGAATGTGAAACACATGTCTCAGAGACACTGAACAGGTTCTACACCTGCGCACTTCCATTACGCGTCTTCGTTTTACACATCTACCGGGTGTTCTGGCCCTTGCTCTACTGCAGCCTGGCGGTGAAGTATCAAGTCGCAGAACCATATCGCACAATTTCCGACGCCGACCTTAGCAGTTTTAGCACACGAGCTCTGGTGAAGAGGGTTGCGCTGCTGCAGTCTTTACCAGCGTGTGATCGGGGATGCTTCCTGGACCTGTCATCTGCATTTGCTGCCCTGGCACTTCAAGCAGGCCAGAGACAGCAGGAGTCTGAGCTCTACGGCTACTTGGCTGACACGCAGCTCATGCTCCAGTCGGCTTTTTGTGAGAGCATTATCGATTGCATTCGGACCCGCTCCGACGCAGAGCTCCTGCGCACGACCTGTGGCTTTCTACACAGGGTGGCAGAACTGCCACTTGTGCAACGTAGGCGCTTTCAGGTCCTTGCAAACCCAGGGGAGGCCTTAGGACGCACTGAGTTTGAAGGCTCACATGGTGCAACACTTCTTGCCACTTTGCAGAACGAGGACCTGTGGTCAAGGCCTTTTCGGCTTAGCCTTACTGACGAGATTGAAGCTGCATGCATTGACAAGATGGACATGGATCCGATAAGTCCAGCACGAGCCTTGAGCCTCTACACAATGCTCAGCACTGTCGGCCAAGTCCTTTCCCGATTTGGTGTGGAATGGTTTGCCTCGCATGGCACACTTTTGGGAGCCATTAGGCATGCAGGTCAGATTCCGCATGATTGTGACCTTGACATATCCATATTTTCTTCGGATCTGCACATGCTGCGAAATGCATCCTTAATGCTGGCATTGCAGCGAAATGGCTACCAGCTGGACTATTTGCCAGTGCAACACTTGTTCACAGTTTGGCGCAGTGGTCAGCACACCGGAACAGAGGTGCGTGGGGCACGTGCGGTCAACAGCATGAACATGTACCGTGCCGCTTTGCACATTTTCGTGCTGTTCGACTTCCAGGAAACAAAGCAATGGAAATATGAAACGGACAGGTTGAAGCACCGTGGCTGGATCATGTCAGAGAAAGACTTGCTTCCACTGAAGTTGCATCCTTTCGGCGACACATCCGTCCCAGTTCCTGCACAGCCGGAAGCCTACTTGGACCGAATGTATGGCCAAGACTGGAACTCAACCATCCGCTGCATGACGGCTCTGCAGGAGAATCCTTACTACGAACCAACTCCTCTGACCCGTGCTGGCATGGCCCAGCCAACAGGACCACTAGAGCAAGTCTTTTTCGAGTGAAAAATTACCGCCTTACTAACGCCCTAGAAGACATGCTGTCGCAACCTGTAGGACTCATAGGCGGGAGCAGTCAGACCCGATGACGACGAGAATCGCAGCATGTGATGAGAGTTCGGTCTGGGTTGTTGTATTCGTCTTTCTGCGCAGCAAACCTGAACTCCTTGGAACTTACGCTTTAGATCCTGCTGCCAAGTCTTGTACTCTTGAGCCTAATGCCCCATCTTGGCCTTTTGCAGCTTTTACCAAGGCTGGGTCCGTATTGTCCCGCCCCAGGCAGCTCACGTAGTGGCCCCAGCAGACACTGTACGTCGCTGCTAGCACGATGGGGTGAAGGGAACCCTCAGCCGCTTTCAAACTTGGCCTGCGGATTTTGATGGCGAGGATTAGGTTCAGGTTTGCGTCTCCGGTTTTTGAGACTGCAGGTGGTCAGCACCACCCCTTCTGTGTATTCGGACATCGTACTGTGCCCCGCACATGCATTACGGCAGTACAGAAGAGACCTCATGTGGCCTTCATGAACATATCTAGGCTCTTAAGGTGCAGGGTACAGTGGGCTAGGGGCTGAGGCTACGAAGCCTAGCTAGCAACGGCATACATGAGCAGAGATAGATGTTACATTTAGCATGGCCAATAAGCAAGCACCGGTTTTCGCCAGGTTTGGCAGAGTTCGAGTAGCCTTGCACTGTGCTTGTTCGACATTTTAGCATTTTAGAAGCAGTATTGGGCCTCTTGGTCAATGGTCCCGGGAGAGGTGAAGCTTGCTTCAACGACATTGTGAGAGCCCTCCGTGGAGAGGGTGGTGACGGCGACGATGGCGGTATGGAGGGGTCAGAATGAGGTGCAGAATGTGAGGTGCAGAAAGAGAGCTCGTCACTGAACCCCAAAGAGGAGGACCGGAGTGAGGACGCTGACGGGCAGACATCGACAACAGCAGCGGATGAAACGATGACGGCGGCGACAGACTGCGGCGACAGCAGCTCCCGGTTCAGCGACGACCATTACAGCAGCGACCACGACGACGGCGGCGGATGATGCCCACAACCACGTGACGACGACGACGACTACCGCTTTCGGTTCGGCGACGACATGCGACGACCACGAGGTTGGGGACGTCAGGTCTGCCAGGCGGAGTCGAGCAGACTGAAGACAGGCGGCCACTGGCATTCTACTTGGAGGAGTTGGTGCAGCTGCTGCACCGACAGCGAGATAGCAGGAGGACACGGCTCACCACCGGGCATGTGAGGCAGCTCACCGCTCGAAGAGGCATCGTTCTCCACGTCGTTGTGTGGGGATTCAGTTGTACGGGTCACCATCCCGAGCAGACGCACAACAGGGCCAGACCAGACCCAGACGCAGCTGACAACACAACCGACATAGACGCAGACCCACCCTCCCCCCCATCTCCCCCAGAAAACAGCATGCACCCATAAACTTTGCCATAAACCCATCCCAGACACTGTAGATCGTATGTCACTTCACCTTGAGCTTCAGGCTTGCCGGTGCTTCCGTTCTGAGGCCACTGGTCTGACCGTTTCACGCACTTGTAGGAGTGCAAGAGTGACGGACGGCAGGTCGTCCGATCGAAATGCCCGGTCGGTCACGAAGTCTTGGGGTTGAATGTTTCGATATACTAAAAGGCACAGGAGGTTTGCAGCCCTACATCCAGGTTCATACATCCGTCCAGCATGCACGCATTGCATACATGCACGCGTAAAGGCGCATGTCACGCCCATATGTGGTTGTGTGAATGGAAGGCCTGTCGCAGCTGGATACTTCCTCTAGTTTGCCAAACGAGCGCTTGTTGCTGCCATGTCTTCGCTTGTTTCTTGCTCAGACACGAAAATTCTACAAATATCTGGTGCATCTGCAAGTCAAAGATCGGAAGCAGTCAGTCAGCCTTTTCGGAGTATAGGGCTTTCCAAGGCCCAACCCGAAGTCCGGGCCACGTCCAGAAGACGTAGCTGTTCTACTGGCCCAACACGACAGCAGGCCCGCTCGCCAAGGCACACAAGTCTCAATGCTGGTCGGCCAGCCGGCGACTGTAGACCGAGCGAGTTTCTAGCTTCGCTTCTGTTCAGGGCCATGCTCCGATATTTGGGTCGCTGCTGCAGCGGCCTTTGCGGCACTGAGCGGCGAGAACCCAGCCCGGTGTCGAAGTTGGCGTCCGTGCCTCTGGCCGGGCAGGATGTGCGGATGCCGCAGGTGGGAACTTGCTCGGTTGCTTTGACAGCACCACTTATACGAGGCTGATCACTGCGAGATAGAGGTCACTCGAATTCTAGAGAGAGATAAGCGGAACGCTATCGGTCGACAAGCTCACGAACAGCCCGAAGAATGAGAGATGTTCAGGGCCCGCCTGCAAATCCCTGGCAACAAGAGTCTGCAAGGCACCACCGCCACCACCACCGCGTCTGGCTCCCACACCTGCGGACCTTGAGGCTCACACGCAGTTTCGACCTGTGCTCGTGAAAATTCAGTTCGATGATCCTCCGTCCATGTATCCTTGTACACACACACACAATCGGAGAATCCAGTCTGTCTATCTGTTTGTCTTCTTGCTTGTTTCTGTCTGACCTCTTTCCGTCGGTCTGTCGATCTGTCTGTCTGTCTGTCTGCCTGTCTCTCTTTGTCTCTCTGTCTCTGTCTCTCTCTCTTTGCCTGTCTCTCTCTCTTTGCCTGTCTCTCTGTCTGTCTGTCTCTCTGTCTGTCTGTCTGTCTGTCTGTCTCTCTCGCTCTCGCTCTGTCTGTCTCTCTTTCTCTCTCTGTGTCTCTTTGTCCGTCCGTGAGTCTGTCCGTCCATCGGTCTGTCCGTCTGACCGTCCGTTTGTCTGTCTGTCTGTCTGTCTGTCTGTCTGTGTCTGTCTGTCTGTCTGTCTGTCTGTCTCTCTCTCTCTCTCTCTCTCTGTTCTCTCTCTCTCTCTCTCTCTATCTCTCTCTCTCTCTCTCTCTCTCTCGCTCTCTCTCTCACTCTGTCTGTCTCATTCTCTCTGGCTCACTCTCCATCTGTCTAACTATCGAACTTCCTCCCTCCCTCCTCCTCCGTCGAAGTGTCAACGTAGCGTGTCGCCATTCCATGTAGATGCGTCAGATACACCGAAGCAGGTATATGATGGGGATGTCTCCCATGATATCACAAGATGGCACAAGCAATTTGGAGCAGTGTCGTCGGTGCTTCGCATCCCAGAGATGCCGAACCATCGCGGTGATTAACATATGCCCACAGAACTTTGAAGTATTCTGAACGGTGAGGCGTCGTATTCATCCGACTCTTGAACACATGCTGCCACACTGCCCTCCAAGCCCTAGTCGTTCTCGTTTATTCCTTTTCCAATCGCACACAGATTAAATCTGTGCAGCCTGTAGTATACTTTCAAAGGTATGTATAGAAGAATATATGTAGAGGTGTGTATATGCGTAGATATGCTTGCCCCCCCACCAAGATCTACGCTTTCGTGGTTTTCGGGGCATGGTTCGCACGAAACACTGTAATGCTCAGAACCTACGAAAAAATCCAGAATTATGGCATGTATGGCCAGGCCGGTGGCAGATTCCTTAACAGTTTTGGATTGTTTTGTTGAGCATCACAGTGTTTCGTTGGTTTTGAAGTTGGAAAAGCTGCACTTTTTTGGAGCATTACAGTGTTTTGTTAGGTTTGGGCCACGAAACACTGCCACGCTCAAGTTTCGTGAGCTTTGAGGCTGTGAAAGGTTGATGTATTTCTGAGAGTTAAAGTGTTTTGCGAGGTTCAGGCCACGAAACACTGTAATGCTCAAAAAAGTCAACTTTTGCCAGCCCTGAAACTCACGAAACACTGTAATTCTCAAAGAAATCAATGTTGTTTAGGGAACTGCCCCCTGGTCTGCCCATAGATTTGGGATTTTGTGGAATTTGTGGAGCGTTACCGTGTTTCATGAGTTTCAGGGTTGGAAATTTTGATTTTTTTATGCATTACTGTACAGTGGATCGTGATGTCCAGAACTATAAATGCTATAGTGTCTATCTCCCCTGGAAGCCCAGTGTTTTTTTGCGTGCAGGTTTCAATGTCCGCCCGCGGAATTGATTCCGTTGTGGATGTTGTTGTCGCCGATCTGTCTGCCAGCCATTTCGAGTACCAAGTATTGTATATCGTCTGCTGAGTGTAGGTCCCCGCCTTGAATCAAGACGGTGCCGACATCTCTTTGCAGGATGCTCTCGATGCTACGAACTCGCAAGTGAGATCTATGGCACCAGCAGCACTGGCACTAGAGCTTTCTCCAACATATGGTTTAGTAACTTCTTCAGCAAGCTGCACAGCCCACAGATCCAACATGGTTATGATGAATGCCGCTGAAGTGCTGCGCAAGCCCATCTAGAACTTATATCATTTCATATTGGAAACTGTAGGCAGCTGTTTGCATTTTGCTATCCTAAGAGAGGACAATGGAGACTTCCTATGCTCTTTCTTATGAAGCAGGAGTTTTCATTGAGTTTACTGTTGTTGATGCTGTCATTACCCTGGAGAAGATACCGATCGCTATGTCCATGGCTGTTTCTCTAATAGGTGTAATAGACCGCAACACAACAGCAGAGTAGCTCTTGTATACAAGTAGTGGACCAATGTAGAGACACAACCTGCGCAGTCGTGTGGACGGGGCGGATGTAGAGGGGGGTGGGGGTGGGGTACCATGAAAAATACATGTATGTATGTTTGTATACATACGCGCGCGTGTGTGTGTGTGTGTGTGTGTGTGTGTGCATGTATATGTACGTCTGTCCAGACAGACAAACATGCAATCACGCGATCGATCAGTCAATCACTCAATCAATCGATCGATCGATGCATCGATTAATCGACCATGCGATCAATCAATCAGTTGATAAAATGGTCGAACAATCAGTCAGTCAGTCAGTCAATGAATTTATCAGTCAATCAATCAGTCAACCAGTCAATCAGCCATCAGTCAATCAGTCAACCAACCAATCAATCAGTCAGTCAGTCTAAATACAAGTACATAAACATATTATACATATATATATATATATACACATAGACATGGGTGTGTGCATGTGCGTATGTGTATGAATATATATATATATATATATATATATAAGCTCACACCCCCCACCAAGACCTACCGCGAGGTGCTTCGGCTAGCAATGGGTAGTAGAACATGTAAGGATTTGAGGAAGCCATTAGGATAAAATACACTCATACATAAACAGTGGAAACATATATCGTGTATAATCAATAGCTGAATACACTGTAATGACCTACGACGGCGCGACATCGCCGTTGGCGGATTTGGGCAAGCTTCAATGCCTGCAATTGTTTAATAGGATACTGCCTAAATGTTCCGGATATTCATAACTCTGGTCATATAATGACCATAGGCATAACCCGAAGACAGGACCAAGACAGAACAGTGTCTGCGTCCTACGTAAGATCGTTAGATGCGCCGGGTAACTTTGTGTTTGTCATTGTCTGTTTTTAATTTTGTTCATGTACTCATAGGCATAACCCAAAGACGGGACCAAAACAGAACGATGTGTGCATCCTACCTAGGATCGTAATGAGGGTTACATGTGCACACATGTTTATTCTGTGTGAAGCTCTTAGGTTACTCATGCGCCAATGTGTATAATAGCGAATACTAATACTGATACTAAGATTTCTATTCCTACGAATAAGGATATTACTGTTCATAACATAGTATGCTTAATGGTTAATACTAGTATGAAAAATTACACTACTAACGAATAGTAGTGCTGATGGGAATAGTAACACTCCTGGGGATACTAATACGCATATTCTTATTAACTGTTCTCAATATGAATACTAATAGTACTAGTTGTTTGGAATACTAATACTTGTCCGAATATTCATACCAATACTCAGGCTACTGCGATTATACATAATAGAACATTAATATGGGTATTCGTATTAAGGTCAGCATTTCCTTCGAAAGTATTCATATGCGCATCATAATTCATCTTAATACTCGTACTGATATGAAATAGTATGATTACAAATACTTTTACGAAGACGGGTACTTTCAGTAATACCGATACGAATATGAATACTAGTGTTCCTACGAATATTAAAAAACATACCCATATTGATAGTAATTTTAGTATTTATTTGTTACCAATATACACGCAAATGCTAACATCAATACTAATATGCACATAAGTGATACAGTTCCTCCGCAGATTAATGCGCATAGTCTCATTAATTATTCTCAGTATTTATGTTCACATTAAAAAAACCTACACTAACATGATTGATACTCCAGCTAATACGATTATGCATAGTATGAACAGCGATACTGCTATTGATACCAATATTAATGCTCCTACGAATACTAATAATCACGTTCAAACCAAATACAAAAAACAGACACATCAATGTACCAAAGAATCTGTATTTTCACATACCAATAAATAATATACTCGTATACTACTATTCCAATGTTACCATAGACTTACAAATACAGAATATACTGATATGAGACTATACACTGGTTAATATTAACGCTAAGAAAAAGGCAGAGACTAAGACCAAGACTAATACGAATACTAAATCTCACACTAGACATTAACACTACCATTAGTACACCTATTGTATAGACTTATATTCAGACTAATACTAACGCTGACATTGGAATTGACATTGACACTGACACCAACACTAACAGTAACACGAATCAACACGCTAGAACGCAGATACTAATACTAACACTAATGCCTAATGCACATCTGAAGACTACTGCGCGTAAACAACGAAACCATTTCCGATCAAGCATGCTGCGCGCTGTATTGGCTCTAAGGCTCCGAGAACCACAAATCCAAAAAACCGCAAATCCAAAACCTTTGTCAGGGGGGTCGAAACTTTTGGATTTTTTGGTTTTCCTAGGGTTTTTTTGGTTTTCCAACAGAAAACCAAAAAAATCCAAGGTTTTTTGGTTTTCCAGCAGAAATCCAAAAAAATCCAAGGTTTTTTTAGTTTTCCAGCAGAAATCCAAAAAGACACAGGTGTTTTTTGGTTTTTCACGAGAGACACAGCAGAAAAACCAAAAAAACCTTGTGTTTTTTTGGTTCTCAACCGAAAATCCAAAAAAGCTATGGTTTCGCCAAGGCAAAGCCCAAAAAACAGAAAAATACCTAGGACAACCAAAAAATCCAAAAGTTTCGGGCCCCTCAGAAAGGCTTTGGATTTTTGGTTTCCGCCGTCGTATCGTATGGTTTCTTTTAATGTTTCTTGCTTATGAATACAGGCATATGAATTTGAAAGCGGACATGAGTAGGCACGACGTTGTAAAGAGACATGACTTCACATCAGCCATGATAGAGAAGGTATCATCCCCGAAAATTACGCAAAACACGAATCGTATGCCAAACGCGAATCCCTGCCAAGAGAAGGTTTTGACGGTATTTACAATGGAAAAGAGGCCGAGGTAGGTCATGGTGGGGGGTGTGTCCATATATATATATATATATATACATTGTATATATGTATGTATATGCATGTATGTACGTATGTTTATACAGATATATATATATATATACAGATGGTTGCTTCAACATGTTCGGCGCATGATTTGGCCAGTGCTCCGGTGTTGTATACTTTGTATATTGCCTATACAGAGCTTTCTTTTGGGGACCGGGGGTGGGGAGGGTTGGCGGGTAGTGCACGCGTGGACAGGGCAGGGGTTGAGGTTTGGATTGGGTGGCGGGCAAACAGTAAACCAAGTAAACCAGCTTTTTCGTTGCTGTGAAGGTGTGAACACTGGGTACGGTCTTTCGCACCGTGATACGTGGTTTGTGCACCACACCAGATTTTGCTCGAAAAGAGGCGAGTTTGGACAGGCACCCACACGACGACGCACTAACAAACAGCAGATAACAATGTCCTTAGACAGCATTACGTGTCGTCGCTAACAACCGTCACTCGACGCCGTAGCTCCTAGGAACATGTGTGAGACTCATACACAGACGCACATGCGCACAAGAAAAGCCTGACAACTCGACTGATTTCCCAGACCTGAGCAGAGGGTAAGAGAGCACAGCAGGCTTTGGAGAAAGTCGCTCGATGGATTCATCCAGGAGATGGGTGGCTCCCACCTTTGGTGGAGGCGAAATTTCTCGGGATTGAGTTGTTGAGACTATTTTCACTGTGCTTCCCGTGATTGGGACTGCAAGTAGTTCAACTGTGGCATCCAGTGCAGCAGTCCTACTAGTAGTCGTCGTTGAGGTCGTACTGGTAGTAGTTGTCGTCGTGGTGGTGGTGGGAGGGGCAGTCGTGGTAGTAGTAGTAGTAGTAGTAGTAGTAGTAGTAGTAGTAGTAGTAGTAGAGTAGTCGTCGTCGTCGTCGTGGTAGCAGTAGTAGTAGTAGTAGTAGTAGCAGCAGTAGTAGTAGTTGTAGTTGTAGTTGTAGTGGTAGTAGTAGTGGTAGTGGTAGTGGTGGTAGCAGGAAGCGGTCGTGTTGATAGTGGCCGTGGTAGTGGCGGCAGCAGCAGCAGGAGTAGGAGTTGGAGCAGGAGTGGGAGTAGGAGCAGGAGCAGGAGTTGCTGATGGTGGTGGTGGTGGTGGTGGTGCATTGCAGACGTCGCACTGATCCAAGTGCTTGAGGACAAGCGCATGTGCGCCCGGCTGTGCGGATGACAGCATAACGCTGTAAGTGATTCCCACTAGTCACTAGTCATACTACAGCAAAGCAACTGTAGCTTCTTTAATCAAGCTCTTCCAGACATAAATCAGTGAGGCCCTTCTGATCTTGAACACTGGTCGATGCCCCATCTTCCAGAGGATATCTTTATCGGTTCCTGACCCTGATGTCCTGACCGACAGCCTGCATACTGATTGCCGGGACCACCAGCCATCGTAGAGGTAGTAAAACTGGAAGTAGCAGTCACCGCATCCACAGCATTGGTGTTCTCGGTGGTGGTTTCGCAGAGGGAAACGCGGCATTCGATCGAACGGCAGCAGCAGCAGCAGCAGCATGAACTGCCTAGTACTAGTACTGCCCAATCCTTCCAAGGACCTCGTTCTTTGTGCTCCGATTTCTCTTGGTGCCATACCATGTTTGAAATGGTGTCCTGTCTTCGCATGGGCGGAGTAGGAGTCGGCTTGTGGCAAAGCGCAAGGTGCCCATGCACCTGGCCGGAGTACCACAGCTGGAGCTTCTTGTATTTCGGCTAGAACGAGGTTGGCGGTTTATAACATCAAGGAGCGCAGTGCTGGTGAGGACCGCTGTTTAGTAGCCAGGGTTCAAGATGGTAGTATTGTATAGCATTTTCATGATAAGCTTCACAAGCAGTGGGCATGGGCCGGGGAAAGATGCCAAACCTCTGTGAGGCAGACTCTGCAACTGGAACACCACGCCGTGCATACCGCTCAAAACAGGAGCCGTAAACCATGTACTGTGGCCTAAATGACCTTCGTCGAGAGCTGAAGCTTTCATCGTCTGAATCAAGAGTCAAGAAGTCGAAGCGACTTTTTCCCAGTAGAGTAGATACTTGAAGACAAAGTGCAAGCAGGTTTTGGGGACCGCCTCCCGGCCCCTTATCCAACGTAGCCGGTTCGTGCTTGCTTTTGCTGTTGAAGCTGGGCTCAGTACCTATCAGACCTATCATGTCACACCAACCCCTGTCCAGTGCAGATGTCATCAAAGCTTTCGGATGTTGGGCAACCTCCGAAGATGTGACAAAAGCACAAGATAGAGCACCCAAAGCTTTCCAAGCGAGGTGAAACCGCCCTCGGTTGAAGCGCTGTGGGAGTGGTACGAGGAGCCCGAGGTGGTGCGCTTTGGTCCACAACCCGCAGAAGCATTATGCGGCCCCGGGCGTATGACAGCGGTCCTTCCAGTCGTTAAAATATCCCGATATTTAAGAACCGGCGCAGTATCATTGCAGGATTCGTGTTGATATGGGACTTCATGACTCTATATATGTGCATGCGAAGACATATGTACACATTTGTACACATACACACACACATAATTCTTAATACAAATATAGAATATTGTATGCATGCACTTCTAGCTGGCCAACATACAGCGACATCACGCGAGGTCACTCCCTCACAATATCATGACTGCCAAGATTACGGCAAGACTTCCACTCTAAGATGCACCGGTGAGTATTATATGCCCTTAAGAGTAGGAGGGAAGAAGGACTATTCAAAAACACACACACACACACACACACACACACACCCACACCCACACCCACACCCACACCCACACCCACACCCACACCCACCCACACCCACACACCCACACCCACACCCCCACCCGCACCCGCACACCCGCACCCGCACCCGCACCCACACCCACACCCACACCCACACCCACACCCACACCCACACCCACACCCACACCCACACCCACACCCCCACCCCCACCCCCACCCCCCCACCCCACCCCCACCCCCACCCCCACCCCCAACCCCCACCCCCACCCCACACCCCCACCCCCACCCCCACCCCACCCCCACCCCCACCCCCACCACCCACGCACGCACCCACCACGCACCCACGCACGCACCCACCACGCGCACCCACGCACCCACCACCCACCCACCCACCCACCCACCCACCCACCCACCCACGCACCCACGCACCCACGCACGCACGCACCAACGCACGCACGCACGCACGCACGCACGCACGCACGCGCCCTCTGCCCCCGTCGGGCATGGTGGGAAGGGTGGCGGTGGGGTATGCGGGTTGCAGCACGACAGGAGCGCGGACTGCTTGACGGAGATCCGCTCCTCGTGCTTACGGCAAGATAAGTCACTCGAAAAGGGGAGACCCAGATGCTCCCAACCCTGAAGGACCCGTGCGGTTGAAGCAGCGATTCTTCTTTGGAGAGTCCAGTTTCAGACTTTGTCTGTCCTGTTCCCCAAATAATGGTCGAAGTCCGACACCCTGCCTAACAGCCTCAACGATCTCAACGAAGCCGCAAAACCAACACACCAAAACTCGCTGGATCCCTTTATGTTTCGATTGAGGTTGTCTTCGGGTTTGTTCCAAGGCATTCTGAATATTCGGTACTTCAGCTGTGTTCCCCTTTTTGGCACGGCTTCAGCAAGCGTCTTGGTAGGTCTATTATTTGGGAGACTTTGTTTGACTTGTCCGAGTCATAGGATTCTTTGGGGAGTCGAGGAGCCCACGCCAAGGAGCTGGGCTCACGTTTGGCCATCATCTGCCGCTCTCGGCGCTCTCCTGGCGGGCCGACCCCAGCTCCTTTGGAGGGTTTGGGGTCAACGGTTTAGGGCAATTTTATTTGGGTTTTGGCAAGGTTTTATTGCAAAGGCTTTGGGTCACGGTTTCAACTAAGCTGCTAGTTGTTAGGCGATTGAGCATCCATTGCCAAGATTAGGTGGGGCCTAAGTATCGAGAACCGCAAGATAAAAAGCTTTGAACTACAGCAGTTCGGTTTCGTTGCTCGCTTGCGGGATCCCCCACGATCTGAACCCCCACTCCTGTCATGCTCATGTGTGCGCACAAGCTATAAAGAGCAGAATCCCAGGCTCGTTGAAGACAAGCGGGTCGCCGAGCAGGGGCCCAAGCCTCGTTACTTTACAGGTTGTTATTAGTATTATTGTTCTGATTATTGTTATTATTGAAGCTGAGATTCGAGATACGCCGGGTGTAGGACTGAATTAAAGCATCTTTAAAGAAACAACCAGAGGATGCTCCCCGCCGACTGATCTCTGAGTGAGCTTCCAACACCTCAAACATACTCGAGCACCCCGAATCCAGCCTTGTGCTGGAGCCCTACTAAACGGTTTTTGCTGTCCAGGTGGACAATGCCTCCGACAAGACCCAAGCTGCAACGAGCATCCTCGAAGCTAAGACTTCCCCGTCCGAAGTCTAAGCCATCTCCCGGACTCCTAAGGCCTCAAGATACCTCTTGAGAAACCGCCAAAGCCCCGAGAAAGGCTTGGCGCCGGCTTGGGCCTTTGCGGCCTCGTCTCGGCCGCAGTGGGGGCACGCACGGTGCTGCTGTTGGATGCTCGTCGAATTGTTAGCATTCCATCGAAAAGACGGGCTGAGCTGTTTTGTCATGTTTTCGATCTTTGCGGGCCAGCTCCCTCACGTGTCGGGCTGCAGACAGGAAGCTTGCCGTTGTGTGGGTTTCCGGCCGAGTTCGGAATGCATCTTCCTGGTTTCGCTAACCGTCTTTGATGAAGTATTATGTTGTACGCGGGATGCCAGCATTCAATTTGCACGAAGCCGGCGGCTGTTGCAATGAATTACGTTGCTCCGTCAGGCCGTCCGCCCTGTCCGTCGTTTGCAATGAAAACGTGCATGCTGAGGTCGCACTGCAAAGTGCAATGCACTCACAGACGCTGCGAGTAAGTGTCACGACAGCCGCCGAACCGGAAAGTCGTTTTTGAAACGTTCCAGCAGAGAATGTCCTAACTGCGCCACGAGGACCGTGAGCCCAGGGCGCTACATTGTGCTGTGGCTTCTGCAGAGCTCGGCAAACTGGCGGTGCAGGCTTCAATAGACATGTGCAGGTCCACCGAAACACGATCCCTTTTCCAAATGCCTCAATTGTCGATATTGATGGGACATACCCTTGCCGTTATACATCCTGGGACCATGGTTGCCGGAAGCCAGCAGAATGCAGAATGGAATCATAAATGGAAGTGACTGCACTGTCGGCTATTCAGTCGAAGGTCCTTCTGAACTAGACAGCCGGAGTGAGCGGCCATTGGACTCGCTTGCATTATTCTTGGCAGGTGTCGGCGTTTTATGAGTCAAGGCGGGTTACATGTATAACCGTATAACTAGAATAGAGCTTGTCGTGCAATGTGTGTAAGCTATACGACAGAACTACATACAAACTTGCACTTGGCAGCGCTGCAGACTGAGCTGCTGTCCTGAGCACGACCAGTGCAGGTACTGGCTTCATGAACTGCTGGGACTACGGGACCCCCCCAACGGAGGTGTAAGCTCCCTCCTTCTTTGTCTACGCCCGGTGCATTGCTCCATGCATGCAGGAGGTTGGCGCGGCTTGCGGCGCCAACTTGGCTGCAATAAGCTGTTACTCTGGCAGTTGTCGACAGACACATCAGGCATTATATGCGGCTTCGAAGATCAAGGGGATCATTTGAGATGGTGTTGGATTTGATGCCGCCCTCCTGTTTGCAGCCCTTGCCTTCCCATGTGGTCAAAGGTGCAGGCCGCCGTCTACGACTGGGATGCGCCTCAGAATTTCAGGGAGCCTGTAGATGTGCCACGGCAGCATCGTCAAAGGAAAATTTGACCTGCGGACCCCACCCTGCGTGTCCCATTCAACTGGAAGCCTGGAACTCTGTCACCTGCAGACATGTCCAAACGTGACTGTCAAGGTAGTCCTGGCAGCAGAGGCCATCCCAAATTGCCGTTTGAGGTCAGCTCAGCGAAACCTCTCGGTTCCCATTGCTGTTGTGTGCAATGAGTGGGTGAGCCAGCGACTGTGGCTGGGGTATTGTGAGACCTCAGCAGGATCAGCCGTTGCCCGGCGCCTTCGCCCAATGATCAAAATCAAAATGCAGGACTGCATGCCCTGCAGGCCTACTCCACGCGAACACCGCGCACCATGGCAGACCGGATGTGCCCTAAACCCGCACGATGCTCCAACCGATCCGGACAGGACGCCAGGCAAGCTGGCCACCTGCGCCCATAGCACAGGAAAAATAGAGGAAGGCCGCCATGACGGCAAGATAGCATGCCCACCCCTTGGTTGCTGCTGCAAACACGGCCAGGGCTCTTCCCGTTGGATCCTTCCACGGCTTTCTAGGGTCTGAAGCCTGAAGATGGCCAGCAGCCTGCCAACCCCCTCACCCCTGTTTAACCTCTGAGTGAGTGGCACACTGCCTGCAACTAGCGGCAGTGGCCAGCGGAAAAGGGCATACCTCTGGTGCCGACAATAACCCAGCGCAACACATCATGACATCGAGGATGTTACCCTCCTGCAGCCTGAAGTCTAAAGCGTCAGCGAAGCTGGTGGGAAAAAATCTACGCACTCGTCGCTGAAGCACACTTGATTGTGAGAGGAAGGGCTCCAGCCGAAACAGCCGACGCTATCAAAACAGGCATGAGTGTAGAAGGTTCACCGAAACCGAAACGTAAGTTCCGGACCATGACTGGGAGCTGATACTTCTTGGGAGGTCCTCTACGACGTTACAGCCTCAAAGGCACTGGCTGCAGCCTCTTTGTGCCTGCTTCGTGGAGAGGCCTTGGACCCAATCGCCAAGTTGCAAGCTAAACGGTAGACGCCTATAGCTTACTTACTTCAATCAGTTGTAGCCTCACTAGGTCAGTTTACAAGAGCCCGGGTCGATTTACGATTGGTCTAAAAGGCTCGGCGGAGTCATAAGCGATAGAGCTTTTGGCTGGGGGACTTAGCAGGATACTTATATGAAACATCCGTGGCCTACTATATGATTACACTTACTTAAATTTCCAGTTACGTGAGGATGAGCAGGGTGTAGTATGCACGCTGTAAAATACTTCGGAAAATGCAAGTATAGTTACGTAAAAGCGAGCATTGGCAGAATTTTATCTCGGAGTTGAAAAGGCAGTGATCGCACACATTTGTCAGTTGTTAAAACCGACGGTGCTTTGGTCTTGAGCATGCATGTTCATGCCGCATCCGTTCCCGCACGAATTGGCCGCTACGTTGCAGAGACTGGGAAAAGGACATCGCCTGGTTCTGGGCTCGAAACTTCACCAGCCCATAGAAAACAGATGACGACTTTCAGGTGCCACACCGGCGCAGGGGATGGAGCACACAGATGTTAGCTGTGGTGCACAGTGCACGGTTAGAAGATTGCTGCGGTCACAAAACTGGTCGAGTCGGTCCAGTCCAGCAGGAGCGCTGGGACGCAACCTAGATTCACCCGTGCGCCTTGGACGCCTGGCAGGGAGGCCCCGAAAACATCCCAGAAAAGATCCAATTATGCCCCTGGACGCTTCTCCGGCATGGCAGCGTAATTCATCAAAGCCGCTCGATGCCTTCACGGAGGTCTGGAGGGGGCGACTCACAAGCATAGGGTGGAAAGAAGATGCCCCTTGAGGCGTCATGCCATGTGTCACGCGTGTTCGTACCTCTCGCCATCCTCCCTGTATTCATGCGGCACCGCCGAAGGACGAAGAGATCAAGCGCGGCTGCCCGGTGCAACTCCAATCGGTGCAATGCAATGAGCGGCATTACCACGAAAGTCGGGTGTTGGACTGTTGGACCAAATCTTACAGCGCAGTTGCGGCCCATGGTGCCAAACATGTCCAGAGCTTACGTACGAACGTAAACGGAGCGAAGAAAACTTGGCTTGTGGTGGTCTACGCAAGATGCGAAGAAAGCCAGAGTATCAATAATACACACCATGGCTTTTCATGCAGATGCCGCCCTCAACGCAAAAAGCTGGACACACGACATGCTTAGGCATGACATGCATTGTAATCTGAAGCTTTCTTACGCACGCATTAAGACCATGTCTTGTATTTCCTGCTGTTGCATGGTCCAATAAGTTTGCAGCTGCAGCAGCCCATGACTTGATTTTAGATGATGTTGTATGCCAGAACTTCCAATCAGGAAAAGCAAAAAATCGCACACAAGTCTGTTCAACACTGGGAATTTATTGGAGTTTGAAAGTCCATGTAGACTTAACTGGTTCCCGGAGCTTACATAGATCTTTAGTGAGTTAGCTTACATGCATGCTCTTCTAGTAAAGTGTTGTTGATGAAGTCAGGTCAAACTACGTTTCCGCTTGAGTTTAAAGCATTGTTGGGTTCAGTTGAGCGAATGGCGCCGGGTTTTTGCACGTCCAGATTTGGTCTTTATGAGCCGGCAGCTTGTTCATATATAGCACGATTCCGGTAGCGATAGCTCTTGCATAGCCCCGCCCCGGCATGACATCACAGATGTTGACGCCTGCCTTCGCGGAGCCTTGGCGCACAGCTCTCTCCGCTTCGGCCCTGATCATACCTGCGCAGACTGCACAACTGACGAGTTAAGCCCCTCACTGCATCATGTGGCACAGCTTCAAGTCGTAGTAGTCCGCTGATCACAACACGTTTCTTGTGTTTGCACGTGCTGGCAACGAAGCCCAGAAGTTTGGAACCAGATTTTGAACTAGGGCTGCATGGAGCCCAGCACTCAGCCCCCAAAGTCTTACGCACTAAAGGTTCTTACTGTGAAGCTGCAACTGCAACTGACAAGATAATCCTGCAATCGAGGCTTCATGGAGGTTTTTGGTAAAGGTCGGCTCACTTCGCCGCTTATGGTGCCGGGGCCATGCTCTCAACCTCACAAAAACAACCCTCTAGGGAGTTTCAGCAGCTTCACAACTTCTCCCCATCACCGTGCCATGGCGCTGGAAGTCCCGCAGTGGCTTGCCCAGCGCTTTCCGGGGCGGGACCCTTGGCTTTGAAGTTTGCTAATAGTTGGAAGCAGGTTGGGCTTATGCTTTCTGAAGGAGATGCTGGTACCGTAACATCTTCAGGATTCCGAGTCTGGAACTACGGCAAAGGGCCACACGGAAGTTTGCAATAGTTGCCAGCCCTAGGTCTGCACTTTATGTCTGATGATTCTTGTCGTTTGCAGCTGTTTGTTCGTGATGCTTATGGCGTGTCTCTTTTCCATTTCAGCCATGGGATTCCCACCGTCCAAATCTCAAGGAATGGGAGACGCTTCGAAGCTGCAAGCTCGTGGCGACGCCCGCTTAAAAGCAGAGATGTTAGATTGGCCCGCCCTTGCTACAAAGCAAGGAGGGTCTTTGTTGCTGTGGGCACTGCATGCTTTAAGTATGCCTTACGCCGGACCGAAACCCTCGGCGTCACTTCAGGACCCACTGAAAAAGCTTTTGGATGTGGTTCATCATAGCCCCTGCCCCAGTGGGGCAACTCTGAGCCCCATCTTCACCAAAGTCGTGAACCATCTTCTGCTGAAAACCGTTGTGTTCAGGTGTTGGTTGTTGCTGTTGCCATTGCTGTTCCTGTTCCTCTTGGTGTTCGTCTTGTTGCTGTTGCTGTTGTTGGTGTTGTTGTCGTCGTTGCACCCTGACAGCTAAACTAAGGGTTGTCTGCGGACTTGACTTGACCAAGCGCGAGCTTCAACATTTCCTATCGTTGATTTCAGCAGGGGGCAGCTGCCAACGAAGACGCCCATTTACTCTGGTGATGCACTGGGAGACGTCCTGGCGCGTACCTGCGAAGCCTTTTGTGACGTCGTCGTACATCGACCTTCGCTGTGCACTGTTTGTCATTGTGTGGTTGAACCAATCTCCTGTCCGAACTTCCGATTGCAATGGCTCGGGAACAAGCCAAGAACCCCAGCTAGACACGTTCCGAGTCTACTCAGGCGATCGTTCCCTGGCATTCATACTCAGGATTTGGTCCAACCTATGGTAGATAGGAGCGAAGAGCAACACCATGAGTGCAACTTACTCAACTTTGTTGGGCCTCCAGGCCCAACCGGCGCATCCCCGTGTGATGTACTGCCAACCGTAACCGGGCGTGGACGGCATAGTCGTGATTGAATCCTTTACGGATATACACCAATGTAAGATTGCTGAGGAGTTGATCGCAAGAGTGATTGATGTCATAGGTGGCTGGCAGAGGATCATGTCCTCACCATCCTGCTCCGACAATTAAGTGCACTAAGCAACAGATGCCATTGCCGTCGGTGCAAAAAGCAATTCTTGCTAACGGCCCTGAGTGCCCTTTCAACGCGGGTACCGACCTCTTTCCTTTTTCTGTGTTTAGTTCATTACCTTGGCATATGCATCATGCATGTTTGTGTTCGTTCTGAATCATGTCATGACATGCTTCATGCGTTACTGTCGTCCTTCCTTTCTTTGTCGACTTTACTCTGTTCCTTTTCCTCTTTCTCGCATAATCTGTCTTTCCCTTTCTGAGTCGCACCCGGTGCTTTCTGTTGGCTGAGACATGAGTCGAGGAAGTTTTGACATCACTTTGCCGCTTTTTTGCCAACATGGACTTACCGTTACAAGATTGCTGTGACCGGCTGTTGCATTACTTGGTTTTGCGACACCATCTGTTCTTCTTCTATGCCTCGCCATATGCCTTGATTGCCATGGTTTTGCTCCTGGTTATCATTCCTCTCCAGACGCTTTTCACTACCTGGCTCATGCGCTCACTGATCGAACTTTGATTCTTGCAAATGAGTGCCGGGGATGTCCATGGCATCGTACAGCCGTGGTTTGTGCAAGGTCCTACAGTTTATGTACCACCCGCATTTGTGGGCGCAGCAGAATGCCAGTTTGTTACCTTTGCCGTGAGTGGTGTAGTGCATGTGCTGGTGTTGGTGTTGTTGCCGGTGCGACTGCTGCGGCTGCTGCTGCTCCCGGTGCTGCTGGTGGCTGGTGCTGCTGCTGTTGCTGTTGCCGATGCTGTTGCCGATGCTGTTGCTGCTGCTGCTTTTGTCGTCATCGTCGCTGTTGTTGTCGATGGTTGGTTCTTGGTTGTTGGTTGTTGGCTGTTGGTTGTTGTTTGTTGTTTAGAGTTTGTTGTGTGTTGTTGCTGCTTCTATTTTCTGCTGCTGCTGCTGCTGCTGCTGCTGTTGGTGTTGGTTTTGGGGCTTGCGAGGTTGCTGTTGTTTCGTTGCTGATTGTTTTTTTCTATCGCGGTTGCTGTGGTTCCGGTTGTTGCTGTTGTTGCTGTTCTTATCGTCGTGGTCGTGGTTGTTTTTCTATTGCGGTTGCTGTGGTTCCGGTTGTTGCTGTTGTTGCTGTTCTTATCGTCGTGGTCGTGGTCGGTGTTGCTGTTGGTGTTGTCGTTTCTGCTGGTGTTGCTGCTGTTGTTGTTGTTCTTGCTCTTGTTGTTTGGTAGTGTCGTTGTTGTGGTTGTTGTTGGTGGTGGTGGTGGTGGTGGTGGTGGTGGTGGTCCGCGCGTTCTTTCTTGTTCTTGTTGTTGGTATTGTTATGTTGCTGTTACTGCTGTTGTTGTCGTTGTCGTGGTCGTCGTTGTGGTCGTCGTTGTCGTTGTCGTTGTCGTTGTGGTTGTGGTTGTGGTTGTTGTTGTTAGTGGAGCTGTTATTTTTGGTTCTGGTGCTGCTGTCCTTTGCTTTGTATCATGGTTATTGTTTTAGTATTATTCTTGTTCTTGTTCTCGTTGTTCTTGTTGTTGTTGGTTGATGCTGATGCTGATGCTGCTTCTGCTAGCTTTGTTGTTGTTGTCGTTGTTGTTGTTGTTGTGGCTTTGAAGCTGGTGTTGT